AAAATTTTAATGGGGAATTTTAGAGGCCAAAATAAGACGAAAATCAAGAATACCGATTTGTTGATGGAGGCTTTGTTAAAAAGTTATTAACGTTTAAAGTTTCGCCCGTACTGAATTTTTTTCTCGAAAATGCGCAGGATTTCGGGGGTATGTCTATTCACCAAAAATGATTTTAATTGATCCTCGCAGCCGAAAATAATTTTTTTAGGACGATTTGAAATTTTTTTTTTCCGTCGAAAAACTTCACACCTTCTCAAATTTTTTTCTAGAAAGTGGGTAGGATTTCGGGGGTATGTTTATTCACCAAAAATTATTGTAATTGATCCTCGCAACTAAAAATAATTTTTTTAGTACGATTTGAAACTTTTCAATATCGACGAAAAATTGGTCCACTTTCTTCAATTTTTTTCTAAAAAATGCGTAGGATCTCGAGGGTATGTATAATGACAAAAAATGATGGCAATTGACCCCCGCAACCGAAAATAATTTTTTTAGAACGATTTGAAATTTTTTTTTTTCGTCGAAAAATTTCAGCACCTACCCAATTTTTTTTCTCGAAAGTGGGTAGGATTTCGGAGGTATTTGTATTCACCAAAAATTATTATAATTGACCCCCGCAACTAAAAATAATTTTTTTAATGCAATTTGAAATCTTTTAATTTCGTCGTAAAATTTCACACCTTCTCGAATTTTTTTCCCGAAAGTGGGTAGGATTTCGGGTGTATGTGTAATGACCAAAACTGATTGTAATTGACCCCCGCAACCGAAAATAATTTTTTTAGGACGATTTGAAATTTTTTTTTTCCGTCGAAAAACTTCACACCTTCTCAAATTTTTTTCTAGAAAGTGGGTAGGATTTCGGGGGTATGTTTATTTACCAAAAATTATTGTAATTGATCCTCGCAACTAAAAATAATTTTTTTAGTACGATTTGAAACTTTTCAATATCGACGAAAAATTGGTCCACTTTCTTCAATTTTTTTCTAAAAAATGCGTAGGATCTCGAGGGTATGTATAATGACAAAAAATGATGGCAATTGACCCCCGCAACCGAAAATAATTTTTTTAGAACGATTTGAAATTTTTTTTTTTCGTCGAAAAATTTCAGCACCTACCCAATTTTTTTTCTCGAAAGTGGGTAGGATTTCGGAGGTATTTGTATTCACCAAAAATTATTATAATTGACCCCCGCAACTAAAAATAATTTTTTTAATGCAATTTGAAATCTTTTAATTTCGTCGTAAAATTTCACACCTTCTCGAATTTTTTTCCCGAAAGTGGGTAGGATTTCGGGTGTATGTGTAATGACCAAAACTGATTGTAATTGACCCCCGCAACCGAAAATAATTTTTTTAGAACGATTTAAAATTTTTTTTTTCGTCGAAAAATTTCAGCACCTACCCGATTTTTTTTCTCGAATGTGAGTAGGATTTCGGAGGTATTTGTATTCACCAAAAATGATTGTAATTGACCCCCGCAACCGAAAATAATTTTTCCAGAACGATTTGAAAAATTTGAATTTAATTGTTAATAACTGTTTAACGAAGCCTCCATCAACAAATGTTCTTGATTTTCGTCTTATTTTGGCCTCTAGAATCCCTCATTAAAATTGTTCTCGGGAGTGGCCGAACACCCTGTATATCTTTGTTACAATTATATTGAAGATTCAACTTAGGTTGAAACGTCGACTCCGATGAAACGTTAAATATTGTATTAAAAAATAAACTTTCGATGGTACATGACGATGAAAAGTTAATTGCTTTTATCGATCTGTGCGTCGTGCTATGCATCGTTTGCTGGCAAAACACGGGGGGAAAAAAACAAAGATTAAAAAATGTTTTGCTCGTTTATGGACGCTTAAAAAGATATTACTTTGTATTTGGGTAAGTGTCTTTGGAGGAACTGCGGTAATTTTTTTATTTCGTTTGCAATTTTAATGGAGCATCGAGTATATCGGAGTACACGTGTCTATCAGGAATATTGGAACAATCGAAGCAAGACTGCTAAGCATTCCGGTTACACTTCGGTATGCGTGCTGCAAAGTTAAGATTTCCAGCATTGCGCGCACAATGGCGCAACCAAGTAAAGTGGAGATCCAGCAGCAGGGCTAGATTTATAGTAGATATCTGCGCAAAATGGGGCGACGGTTACGTAAAATTTCGCAAACTTCAAAATCAATATACCGTGGAGTAATTATCTAGAGGTACTTAGACGTTACAACACACGATTATACATAAATTCGTGCACATACGAGATTGTACACTATATTATAGACTTGTGCTTAAGAACAAGGAATACAGAAAGATTAAATCAAGTTAAGAAAAACTTTGAAAAATCACTATGCTTGGCTAGGAGCTTGAGTAAAAGTAGAAGAATTAGATTCGACCAAATTATACTTAAATTTGTATGTAAATAATGTGAAACAATCCTCCATTATAGTTCGGTTAGTGACGCAAAATTGGCAAAGGCTGAACTGATCGAACGTCGTTGCTAAACTGTGAAACTTAGCAAAGGAATCTATTGATTAACGTAAATCAACACGAATCTTGAATAGCTTTAGACGGATAATACTTTATATCAGTATTGCGGTAGTAGTTTAATTGGATTGTGTATATTTTGATATACAGGGTGTTCGGCTACCTCTAGCAAAAATTTTAATGAGCAATAGTATATGCCAAAATAAGACGAAAATCAAGAATACCAGTTTGTTGATGGAAGCTTCGTTAAAAAGTTATTAACGTTTAAAGTGCCGCCCTTACTAAATTTTTTTCTCGAAAATGCGCAAGATTTCGGGGGTATGTCTATTCACCAAAAATGACTGTAATTGAACCCTACAACCGAAAATAATTTTTCCACAACGATTTGCAATTTTTTAATTTTCTCGAATAATTTCACACCTTCTCTATTTTTTTTCTCGAAAGTGGGCAGGATTTCGTGGGTATGTCTAATGACAAAAACTGATTGTAATTGACCCCCGCAACCGAAAATAATTTTTCCACAACGATTTGCAATTTTTTTTCTCCGTTGAAAAATTTAGGCACCTAATTGGATTTTCAGTAAGGAATTTTTTTCTCGAAAGTGCGTACAATTTCGGAGGTATGTGTAATGATAAAAAATGATTGTAATTGATCCCCGCAACCGAAAATAATTTTTTTAGAACGATTTGAAAAATTTTTTTTCGCCGAAAAATTTCACCACCTACTCGATTTTTTTTCTCGAAAGTAGATAGGATTTCGGAGGTATGTGTACTCACCAAAAATGATTGTAGTTGACCCCCGCAACCGAAAATAATTTTTCCAGAACGATTTGAAATTTTTGAATTTAATTGTTAATAACTTTTTAACGAAGCTTCCATCAACAAATTAGTATTCTTGATTTTCGTCTTATTTTGGCCTCTACTATCGCTCATTAAAATTTTTGCTAGAGGTGGCCGAACACCCTGTATATGAGACATAAATCGCGGATGAGCAACATTACGCCGATAAAAAGACCTGTTCTCACCAAATCTTCAAATATTCTCGATGGACTGCTGAATTTCGCGAAGATCGTTGCAAGAAGATATTGCACATTGGTCAGCAACTTGGCTAGGAGGCAGAGCCAAAACTATAAAGAGCTCGAGAGTGGTTGAAATTGGACAGATATTTTACGTCTCTACATAGCAGTATTCAAATATTACTGCCATACAATCAGGTTCTAACTGGTCTCTGCGAAATGCAACAACGATGCCTTACTAAATAGCTATTCGTTATAGTCCCTAAAAATCTAAATGGAAAGAAGATATCGTCTGTGGATCAACAATCTGGCTACGAGCCCAAGTCAAGATACAAAAGAGTCGATGGTTCGGGTAAATTCGTCACGCCTACATCCAAAGCCACTCAAATACTATCAACAAACGATTAGACTTCAACTGATCTGTACGCAATACGGAAACATTTGATACTTCCAAAAATGTAAAAAAAACCAGAAAGCTACACGATGAAAATATAGTGAATTTTCTATTACTCTATGCGTGATATCGTGATCTCGTATTGATCTGGAAGCTGTTGATATACACTTTCCGATAACTCTATCTATAATAAACTGTAGGACCTGGCAAAGATAGTGGCACGATGATATCGTCGTTGGTCAAGAGTCTGGCTAAAACTCCAAGACAAAATGCAAGAGCCTCGACTGTGGTTGGAATATATCTTTCGGTAGGGTTTGAAGAGATACTTGGCATTTACAATACTATGACTATACAATGAGACCTCGACCAATGTACATGCAATATCGCAACCCGATCACGGTACATGGCCTCCGTGTAGTCCTATTTTTTCTGATAACTCGGAATCTACAAACATGTTCGGTATACTGCGACACTTCGCGCAGATGTTGTAAGAAGACATCGTCTATTGATCAGCAGTCTGGCTAAGAACCTGAGTCAAAATGCAAGAGGGTCGACGGTGGTAGGGTTTGGAGAGATCCTTCACACCTACAATACTACGACTGTGTACAATGAGTCGACAACTGATACCTGTGCACTATCGCCTTTGGTCGTAGTTTTATCCTTTGCGACAATTCAGAATCTACAAATGTCATCGATAGATTACGTAACTTCGTGAACATGATGGCAACAGGATATTATCCATTGATCAGCAGTCTGAAACGAAAAACTTACGTCAAGACACGATACAGTTGAATTTGGATGGAAATACTATCAGTCTTCGACACGACAGAGAACACGATACGGAAACTTCGGTTCTCTTTTTATTTTTCTAGACTGCAGAATTTGACGAAAATGGCCGAAGACTGATGAAAAACGTTGCAACAATTTAAGTCACCAAACACTGTACTCGATACAGTGGCTTTGGTAAAAAGCCCCTAATTGTTCGGTGTTTTCGACGCCACGAAATCTGCAAACGTCTTTCGAAGACTGCAGAACTTCGCGAGGACGATCGCCATCGTTCGTAGATCAGTGTGACGGTGCTCTAGGAGTCGGTGCCAAAAATATAAAAGCGGTTGGATTTTGGACAGATGGTATTTTACGCCTCCACGTAGGCCTCCACACGTGCCTAGCGACCGGCTGCCGGGTCCACCATATAGGCATGTTGAGCCTGCTCGAGGTGGAGGTTGGAGGTTGGAGGTTAGCGGAGGTGGAAGGGTGGCATGTCGTCGGGTAGGTGGCTGCTCGGTACGGCTGGGAAGGGTGGTCTGCCACGGCTAGGGCCGCAAGAGGCGCCGGTAGGTGGATATTGAGCGACGCCGGGCGTCGTGGCGCACTGTGCGGATCAGTCGCCCTCCAGCCACCGCCCCAGATACGAGTTCAGCCACTTCCGGCTCTCCTCTTTGCTCGTCGGACGTGCCCCTCTCGGCGACTTCTGTGATCCCTCGTTTCCTTCCCGCTGCTCGCCGCTAGTTTCCCGCAAGAGCTTTCAGTTTCGTTCGTTGCGTGGATTCGCGAACAAGAGGAGAGCGTAAACGCTAGAAATATGCTGATCGGTCTCGTGCGCGACTCAGTGCTGCAGTGCTTCTGTCATAGCTGCAAAGCACCCCTGAGCATCATAGGTGAGTCTCAAAACGAAACCGCGCGTCGGACCCATTTCCAATCGTCCTGCAACCGTTTGCCGCTTTTTCATGTGCCGCAACCGGTAGCTTAGATACGCGTACACCGACGAACGCTAGAAGGGGAGGAGTCGATATAGTGGTGAATGACTCCTCCGGCGATCGAGGTGATCCGCTAAACTCGCGACCAGGTCGCTTTTAATCCGATTTTGTACGGCATCGCCTCGTACCTGTTTCGATCCGACGGTATTTTACACCCGTTCGTTTCAATTTCGATCGTAACTCGATTCGAAGTCGTCGGTATCCGTTCCTCAAGGGCCAACCGTCCGTTTATTCCTCAAATCTGAAACGAACATTCCGGTTAACTTTGAGAAAAAAATAGTAATTTATTAAAGTACGTCTCGGTCGAAGTAGCTAACTACTTGTAAAACCTCCCGTAAAGGTCCTTCGTTATATATGCGTTCTTCTTCGATCTTGACGGTCGTCGTATTTTTACTGCAGTCGACGGAGGTCGATATTCTCGCTACTACTATCGTATTATTCTAGACGCCCGCAGTTCGATCAATTTCTCCACCGTCCGCCAATCGGTACTCATGGTGCAGCACTCGTGTATCACCGGTATGACGATGGAAATTATCGCACAGGCGAAATGTCTTTTTGAAAATAAAATTACAATTCGACTTATTTTACCAAACGTAATCGGGATATTAATCGAACAAAACCAAATTCTTTTTTTTCTCAATTTTTTTTTTAATTTTAATTTTAATTTTTTTTTTTTAATTCATGGATTAAAATCACACAGGCAAAGATCGCAATAGCGCCCGGTACGCACGTGGCTCGTGGAAAGTTCTTCGCGAAACGATCGGGGTGCGGCCCAAGATGGCCACCCTCGGTTGTTGGCCGATAGCGAGCAGACGGTTGCATCGATTTCCCGATAATTAAAGCATGATCCCCGTTTCCCTGGTCCCTACGGTAATACGGTACTCTCATTGATTCTCAATTTTCGAAGCGGGAGATAGGAGGGGCAATGCGCCCTTCAAGAAGCCCAGCGGCAAAGGAAAGCCGCGGACTAAGCAGCCGAAGAAAGTGAAGTTCATCAGTGAGTACGCTTTTAATTAACGAGTCGCTTTGCTTTCACGATTAACGGGACCCACCACGATCGAACGTCTTCGAGCCGAGCACATTTCACGGGGCGAACTTTTACCCCGAGAGTAAATTTTTAACTTGCACGAAGGATACCAGGACCTTCGGGTCACCGATTTCATTAAGATTTTTAGCACTGGTAGATCTTGTTACCCCGTTTACAAATATATACCATTACAGGGTTAGATACTCAATATTTCTCGAGATATTCGCAATTCAAAAATAGCTCAGGTATTACGTGTCGGACTGTCGACCGGGCGGGTCAGAGTTCCATTCCCCGTCCATGCAAATTTTTGTTCTTCTCTGTATTCATATATACAAAATATTTTACGTAAAATTAAAAATATGTATGAAAAAATATATTTTGCGTATATAAATACAGAAAAAAGAAGAATTAAAAAAAAATTGCACGTACGGGGAACGAACTCTGACGCAGTACCTGATCCACGCCAACTCTTTGTTAGTGGCATCTATTTAATTTGTTTTCCAGGAGTATCGAAGCTTTTTAATTGTAAATATCTCGAAAAATATTAAATATCTAACCTTATAATGATATATATTTGTAAATGAGGTAGCAAGATCTGCCGGTGATATAAAAATCCCAATGAAATCGGTGACCCGAGGGTCCTGTATTCTCCTTGTTGGACGATCAGGGTAGAAAGTGTCGCCTTTGATCGGCGAAATTGTTCGCTTCCATCTAGCACGTCGCATCGAGCAGATCTCGTTAGTATCACGGTTTGGGAATTGGTCGACGTGTTTCATCGATCGAATCGCGCACGTTGGGGGGGTGTAATGAACCCGGCGCGAATGGTCGCCAATATGTCGCCGGTTGAATTATAAATCGTAAGCGGCGAATGTCGAAGAACGCTCGAACGTGTGTTGTACGTGGGGTGGCCGCTAAAAGGTGCGTGTGCCGACGCTAGACATCGCGGCGCCTAGAGACAATCGTCCCGTGGGCTGATCGATCCTTCCTCCTCGCATCTCTGACAATGAGTCATACTTCCGTAACTTACTCGTGCACTCAGGGAGCAACGGAGACTGGTGGTATCGAGAAATCTTTCGCCTACGTGGATTACTTCCATCCGTGATTTTTTTTAAACGCATCTGTAACGGAACCATCGATTTTTGTTGGAAAGTAAAATTACTTGAAACCGAGTTCAAATAAAAATTATTTAAAAAGTATCGCAACGATCAATGAACTTTCTCGAAAAAATTTATTTCGATTTTCGAGCAGTTCTCGTCGTCTTATCACTAGGGGGGAGGGGGGGGGGGGGCAATTTAGTCTTTGCGTCAATTACTCCCATTGCATCCGTGATTTTTTAAAACAGGTTCGTCACGTACGTTGAAGGTGAATGTATCGACGCAATCTTCATAAATTCATCGTTTGCAAGATTTTTGTACCAAAAAGCAATAAAATCAATATTGTCACATTTTCCTCGAACCTCTGATCTGTAATAAAAAATGAATTAATTAGAAATTAATTTAATTATCATATTGAAAAATGATATTACTTATTTTCCATAAAGTGATTTAAATACACAGGGTACGAATATTTTGTACTTCCTGTAGTAGTGTAGTAATAAATTGAAAAGGTAAAATAACATTGTTTTGTTTATGATTTTGTAGACTGTCACGCGCGAGCCTCACCTTTATGTTGCAACTTTGCAAATAATACAAAGTTAATTATAAAACCATATTATGCCTGGTTATAAATGATCATTTTACGGTTAAAAAAACTTTATTAAACGCGTGCGTGCCTGAAGTACTTTCAAAACTGAAACCTCGTACAAAACAATTTTATTTTCTGGGGGAGAAATTTTAATGGGAGATCCTAGAGACAAAAATAAGATGAAAATTCTATTCTATAAAAATAAGTTCTCACTCAGAAAACTGTGAGGCTGTCGATACGTCACTCAGTAGAGTTTCTCATGGCGTGCACGCAGCTATTCGCAGATCGCCGTTAATAACTTTTTAACGAAGCCTCGATCAACAAATTCGTATTCTTGATTTTAGTCTTATTTTGACCTCTGGAATCTCCCATTAAAATATTTCCCCTGAATCATGCACACCAATAAGAAGAAGAAAAAACATTGTGTTTGCACATCATTACATTTAACAAATGGTTTTGTAAAAGGCGAATTGACTTATTTCACTCCCCCACTGCTCTTGTAGCGACCGAAATTCGATGCCAGGAAAAGTCTAAGGGTGGCCTGTGCTACGAGGTAATTTTGGCTGAGCCAACAGTACCTAAGAGAGCACCATCGCCGCCGCAGACAAGTTCGACTCAACAAATCGCTATCGAAGATAAGCTTAGAGCGGCCGAGGAGAGAAGACTTTCATTGGAAGCTCATAAACTCGCAGCTCTCACCGCTAAGCTTAGCAAAATTGAAGAGGCCGCTCGCAAAAAGGATGAACTCAACTCTGCTTTCATTGCCGCGACTCGCGAGGCTCTGGACGCCAAGATGAACAACTCCGAGGAGAAACGAGAGGCACATATCGCAGAACTGAGGAACAAGCTGAAAGAGCACGTTAGTTGAAGTTTACTACGTTACGAGTATCCCACGGAATGTCGATGAGACTTATTGTGGAAACTCGTTACCTAGAACAATTGAACGATTTTCAGTCACGCTGCTATTTTATTTATGTTTCGGTTACAGTTAGAAAGCGTAGAGAAGACTCGCTTGAGTCTCGAACTTGAAACCGAGGAGGTTCGCTGTGCTGCTCAGCGCGACGAAAATAGGATGCCTGATCGTTTCAAGGCGCATGTTAGTATACGAGATCATTAATCAATTATGTGGTATCTAATACATTACGATTTAGTAAATACTGTGTCTCTTAACATTTAGGAAGAACTAGTCACTCGTATACGCCAAGCAATATCTGAGCGCGTGCAACAGGTCGAGGCTCAAATCCAAGACAAGCTGGATCAGGCTCGCGAACGTCGCGAGAACATCGAACGCGAACAAAAGGAGAAGCTGCGTAACCATGTAAGTTGCACGCGTTATACTGTTGCCAAGTTACAGTATATTGTTTTATGGGTTTTCTATTCGATTGTTTTGGGCAGTATCAGGAAGGATTTCTCGCTTTGTAGAAGTAATTACAGATCTGGTTTGGTAAAGTTTCGAAAACAGGACGCGGCGAGCGTTGAGATTTTCAAAACTTGTTTTTTAGTGGAAATCCTTTCTCGCGCACTATCAACAAATTTACCCAATAAGGGACTTTGAAATGGTCGTTTAGAACACTGTGAAGATAGCAAAAGTGCGTCAGATGGCGGATGAGTGCGCCACGAGAGAACTTCTGGCGAAAAAGTTCGAATTTGACAAGAGGGTTTCTACTGCGGAGCAGAACCGACAGCGAGAGATTCAACGTCGTGTGCAGGCTATTCGCCAGCATGTAATTTCGCCCTCTTTTTGTTGATTCGATATTCTTATTGTCTTATCCCCCTGCTGTCATGAACGTGGCTTATTATATATCTGTTACGCTGATTAAGTTCAGTAGGAATACCGATGATTTCAGTAGGCTACAATTGTTAGAGTTTTTAATGAATGTTACCGTGCTTCGACGCATTATGTTGCAGAGAATAGTCAATAGGAAATTCATTTCTATTATGTACGATTACATACCTAATTATTTTTCTAATTTTCTTTTCAGCATGACCCCGCATTTATGAGCTACAATATTTTATAAATACATGTTAGCTTAATCTTAGTTAGCATGTACCACTTTTTACATTTTGTTTATAAAATAATGCAATTCCGTTGGTTTACGGTTTAAAGTATCGTTTGTTCTTCTTGTTGTATAGGAAAAGCGCGCGGAGATGGTGAGACAGAACAAAGCAGCTCTGTCTGAACAATCTGGCCTGCCCGCTGAGAAGGAGACCGCCAGCTCTGGGTAAACAGAAGATCGTTCTCGATGAATGATATTTTAACGAGGATTGCGATCTCGTGCTTGACGAGACTCCGTTACGCTTTGTGCCATTTTTTTTGTTCGCTGGAAGAAAATTTTTTAAAAAACTCGCAAGCGATTATAGTAGTTGGAGAGATTTGCAATTTTAACGATCTTATTTTATTACAGTGGTTGAGAGACAGACTAAATCCGTTTAGAAAAAAAATATTTAAAAGTCATTTGAGGAGTCGTTTGCAAGGAACGATCGACTTGTTTTTTCCCCCTCACTTTGTACTTGTGTAAAATCACTGCCTTCATCTAACTACACACTGGTTTGTTAAAAAAAAAAAAGAAAAAAAATACACAAACATACGCGTACTAACCTCAGTTTAGAATACATGTAAAATATTATTTTTCAGTTCTAATGTGCCTACCACTTAAACGATTGTGGATCTACAAGATGGCATTAAAAAAAATAATAACTTTCTCTACGTTTGTGAATGATTATGTATGTTGGAGTAATTAATATTTTACAATTTCTTTTTATATCTCGCTTGTTTTCAATATATTCGCTTCCTTTACAATGGCTATGGTGTTATTGTTAATTTGATTATTTAGTTGAAGAATCATTTATTCGAGTTCCGAGATCGAAAAGAAGGATCATAACGATCATCAGAGTCAAGTGTTTTAACATTTCATTATACAATTTCATATGTTTCTCTTGAGTTTTGTCTCTGTTCTTTTTTCCAACTTTTCGGTGTTTCGTTCGTTAAATGTTTACTTTCATTCATAGGATAATAATAGAATACTACCGCTACAATTAGATCTTAAGTGGTAATTGCGACCATGTGTGTGTACACGTACCATACGTAATAAACGTACCTACGTGTATGGTATGTGCCGACATCTGAGCACACATAATATATATGATAGTGCTTTATACTAGGCTTGAAAACTTTAAAACCATTTTGTACTCGATCATTGTAATATTACTGCGCTAACTGAACAAGAACATTCACAAGTTATGTAGTCTAATTGAATATGATAATATGATGCTTCTGTGATGACTTAATTATATGTCAAAATGTGTAGTGTTTAAGTGAGAATGTGTGAGAAAGGGAGAGAGAGAGCAAGACATTTAATTCCTCTACGCTCGTATGGATACCGTGGCTAGGGGCCTTAATTCTCTTTTTTTCGTATTATACATCATCGCTGGAAGTACTTAATTTCTAATGTAATAACCGTAACCGGGGCAAAGTTTTCGTCAAATTCCCTTTTCTTAACGAAATAGACATCTGGTGGTTTCTCGACCTTCGTAGATACTCGCATATATTGGGGAATACCAAAAAACGGGAGGAAACTTTTAGCTCTGGTCACGGTATCGTCATAAAACAAAGGGTTATAAAAAAAAAAAAAAAATATGTCGCAGTGATATTGCAACCGATACCCTACGTTCTAGATATTGATATTATACAGAAAATTTTTACAAAGGGCTATTCGCAGAAATGTTAACGCGAGATTAATAAAAACTAATTAAGTAAAAAGAGTTCGAAAGGAAAACACTTGAACTCGTACGTCGAGGAATATGCAACTTATAACCTATAATGCTGAGTGTCGCGATTAATTCGCTACGTGTTACAACGTCATAAAGAAAGTCGGATGATTTCGCATTTTCTTACAGTTACGATAGGTGACGAATAACGTCTATTTTTGCATAATTGTTGTGATCTTTTGCAAAATGTATCTCGTACGATTATAATATAAATGCCCGACGTATGTATGTTATGATTGTCCTTTTCGACTTACGTTATAATATATAAATATATATAGATATGATATGATCATTACAATATACTATCGTTTCTTGTGAGCTTTGGTATTGTCTTATACTAGACGAATGAAAAATCGTGAAAAACCAATTTCTCAACGATACATTGGCTGCCTTCGATATTCTTTGTTTAACCTCTTTAGTTGGGATAATGTGTGTTCGAAAAAGAACATGATTGTGTGAAGTAAAAGGCCGTACCTACACGCAACTGTGGTAGTTTTTTCTTCTATTACCAGTCTCCTTTTATCTGCCTTTTCCAAACTTCCGTACATCGTCGTTTCTATTTTGCATAAGTGTCACACTTTTTAAACCTACTTTCAAGTAAACAATTTATTAATCATTCGTAATTCTATAAAACGTTTATCGATTAATGCGAGGAATTAGCGCTACGATTAAAATACTACGTTTTTGGCACTGTTGGTTCAAAATATAACCGTACGTCGATAAAAGAGATCGTGTCGAAACTTTGTCAGTGCCTCTCTATTTGTCGTAGATCGCAGAACCCCGTCCATAGAAAAAAACATACAAATAAATATAGCAACGAATTAAAGATGCACACCATTTTACGCACCGGTCTCAAGTATTTGGATTGTCGTTAGAATGTATTATGTGCAGAAAATTTTGCTTGAAAACCGTTTTACGTTTCTGCTTTTTAAGTAAAACGGCACAAACTCAAGAAGGTTATAGGTACGTCACCGAGGTCCACGTGACGTCAAAGACTATCGAATGGACGAAAGCCAAAGGCTAAACGAAACGACGAGACTGGCTTTATAGCCGACTAGGTAGAGGGCAAATGGCTGCCGTGCGGGTGAATAATAATGCGTAGCCAGTGTAAGACGAGTGATAAAAATCGTGATAAAGTGCGTGTACCATGTTACTAAAGGGCCGATTATCGGAGAAGAAGAACCGGAGGTATCATGGGAAAAACACCAAAGCCACGGCCGGTAAGTGCATAGATTGGTACGCCAGGAAATTTGCGAAATGGTTCGCCTGCCAGTCGACGAGATAGCCCTGCTGCGTTCTCGGTCCCTCTAAACGTTTTCCATGGTATCAACACAACATGGCCGAATCTGTTGCGACTAATTAGGTTTAAGTCGATACTTCTAGTGAACAATCGTAACCTTAGTCGCAGTTTCTAAGTTTATTTAGGTCGAATGACGTTCCGTTTTTACATCTAAATTTCTTAGAAAACTTTCAAAATTATATCAAAACAGGACAATGTCAAAATTAATACATTTGGGAATAAAACCATCCGTCGTATATTGTTTATAGAGTGTAATCAAAGAATGCGTGATTGGAGTGATGTCAGATATCAAGGTTATGCACAAAAGTGTGCATATTCGGTAACAATGTTCTTATAGTTCATTTACGAGAGATAGCAACTGATAATTCGTTGCATTATGCGTTCACGCTATTAAAGTACAACGTGTGGTTCGATGTGTTATTGCGAAGAATTTAAATGTACTACAAACATTTAGTGAGGTTATGCTGTTTTCAATATGGACGACCCACGAGCTTGTGTGTATAGATGCATTTCGTTCTTTTGCATTAGTAAACATGATTCACGATCGCTTTCGATATTTATCAGTACTTTCCCTATTGCTCGGTCTTGTACAAATTAACTAATGGTATGCGATAAAGAGTGTTCTTATTTAAAGTTAAGTCGAGCCGGAGTGTGAGCTAATACAGATCGTTCATCGAATGTGTACGCGATTATCAATGAATCTGAACTTCGTCCTTTCGTTTGACAGGCGCTGTTGTTGACGATTAAATACCATCGCTATCACTTAACCGTGATTATTTTCTATTCTCTTGGATAAAACACCATTTCTTTGTGCAATGATATCGCATTAGAGTTCGTCAGGCGCTAGATTTTACATACTACATACATATGTATTATCTGCGTAGCTTCTACCGCATTAAATCACTTTCAATTCAAATTGGTTTTTTTTTACCCAGAATAATGTTGATTCTATATTTCTATTTTCCAGACACTGAATAAACATGTAGTTTAATAGTCATATATATACTGTAAAGATTGACCAACTTAATCGTTAATTATGCGAATTTATTAGAAACACTGTCATAAAAATACAACTATAAAAGTGCATATTCAGTTAAGCTTGTTAAAGCAAGTAGAAACAAACAGAGAATAAAATCATTAGCAACAGAAAGAAACTTCACCGGAAGAGCATTGTATTACTCGAGTGGTTAGAGAAAACTGTAAAGCAAGTAATATTAGAATATATTTGTTTCAAGATTTTTATCAAAAACCTGTTTCAAATGAAATAATACGAGTACTTCAAAATAACTTGTGTAATGGTTATGTTATAGAAGGAAACAACACATAATCGCAGTTAACAGAAAGAAAGAATAGAGTTTGCTAAAGAATTTATTTTTAGACCTGTAGAATTCTTACATTATTAATTGGTAAACCACACTTTATTTAAAAAAACCATCATTTGATAAATATACATATCAGACACTTTTTATTTCCAACAATAAAGCAGTCCTAAGCATAAATCAAAGGTAATACAAATCTGATTGCTATACAACTGCTGAAATACGTGTTTCCAATATTAATACTGCCGTTTCTGATCGCTTTAATCCTATGCAACATTATTACGTATACGTTTAAAAGGTGGCTTTCACTTTTCGTAAAAATACAATTTATGTCGGCGAAGGTATTCTAGTCGATAGATAGCCGGTTTATAGCATCTAATCGTCGCTGTTTCCGACGATAATTTTACAGCGATAAAATTTATAGATCTTTGGAGACTCGTTAACCATAGCCACGAAACTATTTCAACGGGACGAGTTTGTTCGTTCGTGTTCGCACGTCACACGGAAGGTGCGTGTTAGTGAAACCGTGAAAATGCATTCTTAGCGTGCTACGATAAGAATAGAGCAAGGAAGATAGACTAAGATAACAAATAGAGGAGAGGTACGTCGTATGTACGTGCACGTACGTAATCGGTTCGTTTGTGTGTGCGTGCTATTGGTGTGTGAAGTGTGTGTGTGTGTGTGCGCACGCACGCGAGAGCATTCTGACACAATGTCGAATGGAAACATGCATGCACGACTAGTCTCACACAAACAGATTATTGTATGAGTACACACGCGTTGCTATGACGATAAAGACGCGGATCGATGTTTTTAACCGGTCGGAACGCATCGTGTTGATTTCGTGTTTGATACCTTGTGATATTTCTGTCTTCGTACTGCGCTTTTCCGATCCGTTCCGTGCCATATGCCCACGACTTGATCGATCGGATTCATGGTAATGCAGCTTTTATGGCAAAGGAATCGGAAAGTTTGAGGAATGCCAGACGATTACCTTTCGATATTCTTTTACGGTTTTCACTACGAGTGACTATGATCACTAATCGATACAAATAATCGAAACGATTTTCTTGAATTAACATTTCGATAAATGATTAATTGTCACTAATTTATAAATAATTTTAATATTGATCTTAATTTTGAAGAAAAAAATAATATCTTTGGAAGCTGTCGTGATGTACGTATATTTTTTTTACGAATCACGATGGTGTATTTATTTTTCTGTATGTAAGTTACCATCTTGTTCGATTATTCCGAACATTTCTACGACAACAGTTTAACGATCGCCTGAACCATGTAAGGTACATTTAAACAGATAATATTGTCCTTGAAAGTCTCTTAATTTTTTGTAACAATTCGAACGGATAACGATTACTTATTCGTTGAAATTGTTGGCCAGTGGGAAACTTCATGGTCTAGTTATATGTACTATTTTTTATGTTCCGATATGATAACGATACCGTGATATCTCTTTGCAGAGGTTATATAAAATTTGTTCCGCGTATAGCCTCGCTGTGCTACCGAATAACCACTATAGTTTCACACGTATCGCTAAACAGGTATTCTCGAATCGGATAACGGTACACGAGTGGTCAAATTAAGCGGGACTAGGTTCTCGACACCGTGTACTTTTTCGTATTATGTTTATGTTATCGTTAATCATAATTTTTATCAATCCCATTCAGACGATATAAAATATTAGCTGTTTTATTATCATTTTAAAAGTATCCATTACGTTTGAATATATTTAAATACAGACATTTATTATATTATATACATTATATTCATTGGCAAATCCACTCTTTCATAAATTCAAGACGTATTACGCTTTAACTACTTTTTAACAATTATATTGTAAAATATATCAGAATATTTCATAACGCATCAAATGTACCGCGTGTAGGTAATAACAGTTAGTAGTATTGAATAACCTAACCTAAAAACTAACAGTAAATACATAATATTTTAGAGCACATATTTAGAGCAGAAATGTTTTGATATCTTTATTTAACTACTTCTATACATTCAGGTAATGAAATAAAAATATAATATTGTTAGGAAATGCATTGGAAATAAATAAAATAAATCAGTCGATTGCTTGTGAAAATTGTTCAAAGTTCTACGAACACGTCATTTCATCGTTCACATTTAATTGATGGTAACGAACCAAACTCTATCGTAGCGAATCTAAACGAGCATTTCAATACTGCTGCAGAGCCATTTGAATAACAATCGATTTATATTGACACGATGGCTCGCATACTTTCTATACCACGGACGATGGCATCCGGGGTGCGTGTTTTATATTCTTTAATTTATGCTTCCACCGAAACGAGTTGAGAAATACGGATATTTTTTATTTTTTTAATATACAGGGTGTCCCGTATCAAAGATGGATTTCACTCTCTCTTAAAACTAAGTAACTGAAAAGAAAAGGCAGCTAAAAATGGAGGGGAATAGAAGAACGTAAAGGAAGTAGATGACGTCGATATGTACATTTAAAAAATTTCTACGTAGCAGAAAATGGACAAGAGAAGTCAGTTTAGGTAAATCAAACATGATATAGATAAGCAGATGATCACTGATATGGCTCGTGTTACGTGTTCCGATAGATTGAATTTTAAGATTATTATTTATAATGATTACTTCGAGCAACGATGGTGAGTTTACAGTTATGCGTATTTGTTGAATAATAACTTCATTCAATAAGTACACGGTTATGATTTGGTTCAGAATTTAATGCAGAAAGCTATTTGGCTGGCGCTTAAAAATTAGTTAGTACACTTTAAAAGGGGTTGCAAGATATCATTAAGCGGACAATTACAAAAATATCGTTAATAAAATTTATGTCTACGGAGGCTA